ATCCAGCTCCCGGAACATTTTCTCAGGACATCTTTTTATGACATCGTATTATCTCATTCCTATTTTGGACAAACTTGCAGGCTATCGAATGTAGCCTGCCCACAGGGCAGATTCTGGCAAACTCCCCGTGGTGTACCCAATATGCCAAATACCAGTAACAATGATGGGTCTCATTCTCCTAAAGAGCCTTGAATATAATCTCAGGGCTAGGATGAAAGAGACGTTACTGGGGCCTGCTCGAGGCAATCGATGAATAACAGGATGATGAATGAATGAATGAATGAACTTCAAGACTGGAATCAGCATAATACTGTGATATGTCACCATTCTCAGCTCTCACTTGCTTCAGCTGAGAAGGGAGAAGGGCCCGGAGGCAGCTGCCTCTGTTCAGATGCAAGGTCACTGAAGACAAGGAGGGGCTGTTTTTTAGCTGCTTGGGTTCACTTGGTTTTTAAAAACGACTCACTTTTTTTCCTTCAGCAAGAAGACCTGAAGCTGGTCTGAAATTCCAGCAAAAAAGCCTGATATCTTTAAATTCTGATGGGATAAAAGTTTTGCAAACAATTTTATAACTTTAGAAACTCACATTTTTAACCCATTACTCTTTAAACTTGTTTTCATGTACCACAATAATTTCTACTCACATTTTGATAGTCCAGTACAAATATAAACAAATATATACATTAACACACTAACATAAGAAAATTCTTAAACCATCATTTTCTTTCTTTTTTTGTGAAGCATTTGGCTTAATTATAAAAGTCCTTAATTATCTTAAATCATAAGATTTTTACACCAGACACTTTAACAATTGCACAGTCCAAATATGCTTTTAGACACAGAAGGAGATCATCGGTACTCACCAACTTTTAAATAACAGCATAAGAAAATATTTGAAAACATGAGAAAACTTTGTTCTGATGGCCTCTATACCTCCGTTATTAAACTAAATAGCCTAATTTTGACTCTGTACTGTTTCACAACACTCTTGTTTTTAACCAGGCAGGGGTCTCTCAACCAGTTCCTGCCAGACCAGGATGGAAGGGGTCTGATCCAGGTGTCCTCTCAGTCCTGGAAAGAAAACTTTACCTTGAACTTTTTAGAATGGTCCCCAGATCAAACGTACCTTCCACTAGCCAGCTAACGTTGAAAGCTGGCAATTCTGCAGAACAAAGAGTTATCAGTTTACTTCTCTTCACCTCTACCGAAAGGTTGCTGCCCTTGGACCTGAAATTTCTGAAATGGTCCGTCACAAGGGAAAGTGAAGTAGACTGAGTCTGACCCATAATGAAATCAAGCACAAGGGGAGTCAAAGCAGAGTCACACTAAGACACACTACACCAGACGTCCACAAAATCCGACACGGAGATGACAAACAGACAAACAGTGAATAATGCCAGTCGTGTACAAAAAAACCTTTCCAGATCTGACTGCCCTGAGAACCTACCGAATAGAGTCCGCTTAGATCTATCTTGCAGTCCCAGGAGTGTCAGGGACGTCTCCCTTCACACTTGGCTCTTGTTGACCTTCCAGTGCAACTGGTGGAGTCAGAGCCCCAGTAAATGTCTGACCGTCACCAGACCCCTTTTTACTCAGGCCCCTCAGTCTCAAGGAGACCACCCCTGAGCAACCGTGAACTTTTTTTTTGTTTTAGAAAAACTCCATACTGTTCTAAGGTCTGTGTCTGTTCATCCGAGATCCCGGAGGACTAGCCCTCATATGTTGTACCCGGGTTTTCGGATCACGGCGTGAACAACAGTCAGAAAGACAGTAATGCAAGTGCAAAGGAGTTTTATTTCAGTTAACTTGGGTCAACTATCTCACCCTCAAAAAGTGGTCTCTTGATAGCAACCCCGACCTCCAAGTGCAAGCAGTTTATATAGGTTCCAAGGTTAAGCAAGCACTATGATAGCAGTGATCAAGCAACAGTCTTCAGCTATTAGTCAACATTTGATAAGTTAGTCAGTTTCTGGTTGTTCCAAAAAACGGACATAATGACCCCTCATGCCAAGTCAGATGTTCTGGCAGTTTCTTACCAGAAATTAAAAGTTCAGTTTCTGGGAAACAGAAACTTAGGCCTAATCAAAACTTAATGCTAGCTGCGGCCTGTCATTGCTGCGGTATGACTCTAGGTCTGGCTATCCGGTACCTAACAATCCCAGGAAGGAATTTCAGGAGAAGCTGAACAGTTAAATAAAAACAGATTTCCTTTGAAAGCTTTTGAGGAAGGGAAGGGAGGAGAGAGAGTAAAGTGCAAGAGAGAATGTGGCTTCTCCAAAGGCAGAGAGCCCTGAATGCCTTTTATATGGGCATTCTTCAGGTTGCCTTCTGGAATTTTCAGTGACTTGAGAGTTGATCAGGCATTGTCATAGAAGAAGGAATTTGAAGGTTTTGGTGAATGTCTTTCAGATCCTGTTCTTAGTCTTTGTCTTTGCTGAAGTTTGTTGCCTCCTCAGGATCTGCTCTGGCACCAGGTCTTTTTCAGGCTCTTGTAGACTTGGGGCTAAGGATTTCATTAAGTGCCAGGAATGACATTACCATGGGGACCCTTCTCTGTCTGCCAGCCTGCCGGCTTTAACACAGAAGACCCATCTCAGAAGTCAGGAAACCACTGAAATGCCAGACCAGGGCAGGAGGCTTTGTGAGAAGACTGGTGGTTGGACCCCAGGTTGGGAAGAGAGAGGCTGAAAGTGTAGGATAACACTGTTTTGTCCTTCCTCAGGTAGCTTAGGTTTATCAGGTCACACCCATCCCAGTGCTCCTGAATAACTCCTATTCTTTTGTCTATTTGTAACTATGTCCCTATGCTCTCCTCCCCAGCCAGTTAATCACCTTTTCTCCCTAATCAGATTCTGTTAGCTTGTAAGATCAGATTCCTCTAAGAACTGTATCACTGTATCACTGTCCTCCCTTGTTCATCAATTTGCTGGAGTGGCCCAGTAACGTCTGCATTGGAGACTTTGTTGTTACTGTGTTTGGCATATGGAATATATCACGTGTAGCTTGCCAGGCTCTGCCGTGCGGGCGAGATACTCTCAGTAGCTTGCCGGGCTTTCCGAAAGGGGCGAAACTTGGCCGACCCACGTTTCAAAGAACACTGAACTTGTATTGTAAGCAATGTCCTTTTTGTATGGACACAGGAAGACAGTTAATATTCTGCTTTGTAACTTGGGAGTTGATTGACTCCGAAAAATATTTACTCCTGGGCATCTGCTTTCTTGTCTCAGTTGCCCTTAGTTTCTAGCACCCCAAAAGCAGGGTCCTGACAAGGGACTGAATGGACCCAGGGCAATCTGTGAGCTACCCTGACATTGAAATGGGCCGGGACAAAGCACCACGATACTCAACTATAAGTTGATGGCATGATCATGGACAACTGCTGTCATGGTCCAAAAGTAAGTAATGATGAGACTAGGACCCTGCTGGGGCTAAGAAGACTAACCTGGTCTGTAAAGTAAAGTAAAGTAAAGGCCCTCCCGTTGATCATCGATTTGCTCGAGCGGGCCCAGTAACGTCTCCATTGGAGACTTTGTTGTTACTGTGTTTGGCATATCGAATATGTCACAGGGAGCTTGCCAGGCTCTGCCGTGCGGGCGAGATACTCTCGGTAGCTTGCCGGGCTCTCCGAGAGGGGCGAAGGAATCGAACTCGGGTCGGCCATGTTGGCTGCATGCAAGGCAAACGCCCTATCGCTGTGCTATCGCTCCAGCCCTAACCTGGTCTGAGGACTACGGAATGTATAGTGAGATGTTCTCAGGAAGAACCAAACTGTAAGTTTATTATCTCTTACTGTGCTCACACAGAATGACATTGCTAGAAATATTAGAAGTAGATTTACTACAATTATTTAAGTAGATTACTAACTGAGGAAAGAACACACCCTCATTGGGATCCCACCCTTGAGCAGATCGCCTAGTAATATGAAGTAATCTCTTTAGATGAGATTTTATCCTTGAGTTAATCTCCTGGAGGAGTGGTCTTACCTCTCATTGTTGATTTGTCGATGTTCAACACATCTTTGTGTCACCCCCTTACTGATTGCTATATAAACTAAGACTGTAAGCTTGAAAGAGCAGAGTCAGAAGTGAGAGAGCTTGGGCTCCAGAGATCCAGAATCAGAGCCAGAAGGAGAAGGGGTTCCAGATTGGGCCCAGGAGAGAAGGAGGCAGAGGAGAGACGGGAGTGAAGATTGGAATAAACTGCAATTGATATTGACCAGCCTGGCCCTCTTTTCTTCCTTCGTATGCCCTTGGCCAACAGACGTCCTTATCCAGGCCACACACAGCAGCTCAAGAGCACCGAACACGGCGGTGAGATAGAGCCGTCCAGAGAGCCTGCAAATACACAAGCTTCAGAGTGCGTAAGATTTTACAGAAAGGCCAAAAAAGAGCCTCAAAAGAATGTCAACTGCGGGGCTGGAGCAATAGCACAGCGAGTAGGGCGTTTGCTTTGCACATAGCCAACCCAGGTTCGATTCCCAGCATCCCATAGGGTCCCCTGAGCACTGCCAGGAGTAATTCCTGAGTGAAGAGCCAGGAGTAACCCCTGTGCATCGCTGGATATGACCCAAAAAGGAAAAAAACAAAACAAAAAGAATGCCAACTGCTATGAGCTCTCCGCTGTTGGAAACCACATCCTAGGGTCCACCACACAGTGAAAATATTTTTCTGTGAGAAAATGGCAGTTGGACCACAAAAGCCTGGCTCAGAGTTAGGACTGACTTTCCTTTCCTGCAAAGAGCAAGTGTTTGCTCCAACCTGAGTCCATGGCATCCTGAAGAAATCGGGTGTCAGAGACCCTTTCCATGCTGTGCAGAGCAAGGTTTAGGGTTGCCTTGTGGGCTGGTGGAAACTTGAGGTCTGTACCATGCAGGTGCTCATCACAGACTCTCAGACACCTGGGAACTCTTCTCGTGGCACGTGGCCCCGGGAGGCGGGTCAGTGTCAGGGAGGTGGGATACAGGGAACCCGCACCCCAAGGACCACCACACAGCGTCACATATGAGAATCTTTATTGATATCGATGCTGAGGGCCTGTCTACAGAAACTGCTGATGAGGGGGTGGGCCACGGGCAGGCCCAGCCCACATAGCGGGAGGTGGGGCACTTCGGATAGTGGGCAGATTCTAGAAGTCTCCACCTCTCTGAATACTTTGATAGTACATTTCGGACAACTTGAAGCCAGCAAACACCACAGCGACGATGACTCCAATGTTGAGGAGGATGCCCAGGATCAGGGCGCTGATGTTCAGGCTCTTGGCAGTGGACGCATAGCTCCGGGCCCCAATCATGTCGCCCACCATCTTCCTGTCCCTAGACTGGGGAGAAGGGGGTGAGGGGGCTGTAGCAGCTCCTGCTGACCCAGGGGCTCTGCCTCAGTCCCCCTGCACTTCCAGCTGCTTGAGCACATCAGGGCGCCCCTCCCCCACCCCACTCCCTGCAGCCTGAGCAGGACAGGGCTTGCTGCCCTCCTCTGGTCAGCCTCCTCCCCACAGACACTCAGGCATTCTGGGAGGCACCAGGCTCTCCTCCCTCTGCTCTGGTCAATATGATGTAGGCAGGCAGGCAGATAGGGAAGGCTGTCTCTCCCCAAGCGTCGGCAGTAAATTTCCTAGGAAGTAATGGCTCTGAAGTGGTAAAGGCCAACCTTGCAGAAAACAGGAACTAAGCCTGATAATGATGTAGGCAGGTAGATAGGAAAAGGCCCTTTGCAATGAAACAAAGTTTCATGGAAGGAGAATTCTAGGAATGACCCACCTTGTGGATACAGAAAACAAAGGCCTGATAAGACCATCTGCAGACCCTGAGGATATAGGCCTCCCCACGAAATTTCTCTTTTTGGACCTCCCTGGTAACCTCCTTAGCAACGGACTTTTACCTGGGAAGAAGCTTCACGTGGGGGCAGACTGGAGAAACCCTATAAAGGCCACCTGGAACAAAGGAAGGGCGCGCATATGCTGCCTGAGCCCATGTGTGCTTACGCCCACGTGGCTGAGCACATGTGGTGCCCGAGCACATGTGTCGCCCGCATCTCCCCTCTTGAGATGTGTACTTTCATGCTTTCGTATCTAATACTAGGGTGTGTGTAGGTTCTCTCTCTGCCCTTGGAGAAGCCTGTGTTCTCTCTTGAGTTTGTTTCTCTCTCTCTCTCTCTCTCTCTCTCTCTCTCTCTCTCTCTCTCTCTCTCTCTCTCTCCCCCTCTGCACCTAAAAATCCTCCAAATAAAATCTATTTGTTTCACTGCTTGTCTACTCCTGAAATTCCTTTCTGCGAGGCGAGACAAGAACCCAGTAACCCTGGGTCCTGGGTGGCAGAGGTGGGTGGGGAGAAAGTGACCGTCTTTCTCCTCCCCACTTCACATAAGTCACCCGTGGGACCCACCAACAATAAGACCCTCACTTGGTGCCAGCAATGGACCGGGAGGATATTGGACACCTACCCATGAAGGAAATTCCTCAAATACCCTCTTCCTTAATCCCATTAACTTTAGTGATTCAGTCCAGAGACTTCAGAACATCCCAGACCAAGACATCCCCAGAAGATACTCTATAAAAGCCATCTTGAACAAAGGAACGGCGTGCATATGCTGCCCGAGCCCATGTGCTGCTTGGCCCACGTGGCCGAGCACATGTGTCGCCCCATCGCCCCTCTTGAGATGTGTACTTTCATGCCTAATGCTGGGGTGTGTGTAGGGGCTCTCTCTGCCCTTGGAGAAGCCTGTGTTCTTTCTTGAGCACCTTATTCTTTGCTCTCTCCCACTTTCTCTTCTTCCTTCAAAACCTCCAAATACAATCTATTTTACTTCACTACTTGTCTACTCCTAAAATTCTTTTCTGTGAGGTGAGATAAGAACCCTGGGTCCTGGGTGGCAGAGGCGGATCGGGAGAAAGCGATACTATTTATTCTCCCGCTTCACGTTGGGCACGGACATCACATGCAGCCTTACCTGTATTCTCACAGGACAGAGCCCCACCACAGCTCACACACACACACACACACACACACACACACACACACACACACACACACACACTAATCCCTGCTCTTCCACTCACCCACACTGATTCACACTCACCCACTCACTAACTCACAATCACAATCACACACACAGGACACTCACAGGAACTCTCATCTCAGCCCCCCACCCCGGCCCCAGGAGACTCCCCACCCACCACACACCTTCACAGAGTAGGCAAAAGCCACGAAGCCCAGACAGCAGAAGTTCATGAAGAAGGCATTGAACAGGGACCAGACGATGTGGTCGGGCACCGAGATCTCAGGCTGGATGCTGACCACCGTGGAGGTCACTGGTGCTGAGCTCCGGGGCAAGCCCTGCTCTTCTATCTCATTCTCCTCGAGCACAGCATAGTTAGGGGCGCTGCCCTGCAGGAAGGGCCGAGGGATGTGGTTCATAGTCACTTGGGGCAGCGACAAGAACTAGAGCCTGGGCCTCAGTCTCTCTGTCGTTTCCAGGATGGGGAGCCCCCCCATCTCCTTCCCCTCCTCCCCTCCCTCCTTTCCCCTCAGTTTCGATTTCTCCAAAGTTGTTTTTTTCCGGTTTGGGGGCCAGGAATGGGCTGGCTCTGGGCTGGAGAAGACACAGAGAATCAGGTTTCACTGGGATGGGGGTGTGCCCTGGACTGGGCAGTTTCCTGTCCCAGGCAGCAAGTTCCCTCCTCACGCAGGGGTGAGGGTGGGCCCCGGGAGGATCGGCAGCCTGGGGCAGCCCCTTTCCTGTGGAGGCCCCCAGCCCCCACCCCACACTCGGCTGTGGGTGACCTTCTGGTCCATCCCGGTTCCACAGGGCCCAGGGGACTTTCCAGGTCAGAAGTCAGGACCCAATGGTCTGGGCTGCCTGGCCCTAAGAGTAGCCCTGTGTGTCCAGGTTACGGGGGCTTCCTGACACCAGGCGGGTGAGGTCTCTGGCTGCTGCTGCCAGGCTGGGCAGGCAGCCCCTGACCCCCCAGGCTCCACCCTCTCATAGGAGGCTACAGGGAAGGTGCAGCTGGGCAGGGCAGCTGAGCTGGATGTCAGTGGGTCCCATGGGTGGCTCACGTGAAGCGGGAGGAGGAAGACAGTCATTTTCTCCCCATCTGCCTCTGCCATCCGGGACCCAGGGAGACTGGGTTCGTCTCGCCTCGCAGAAAGGAATTTCAGGAGTAGACAAGCAGTGAAGTAAATGGATTTTATTTGGAGGGCTTTTGAAGGTGTGGAGAGGGAGAGTTACGCGTTCAAGAGAGAATGTGGGCTTCTCCAAGGGCAGAGAGAGCCCTACACACATCCCAGCATTAGGCAGGAAAGCATGAAAGTACATATCTCAAGAGGGGAGATGCGGGCGCCACACATGCTCCGCCACAGGGGTGCCAACAGCACAAGGACTCGGGCAGTGCCCTTCCTTTGTTCAAGGTGGCCTTTACAGGGTTTCTCCAACCTGCCCCCACCTGGGGCTTTTACCCAGGTCAAAGTCTGTTGCTAAGGAGGTTGCCCAGGGGGGTTGGGAGTGGTGATGGTCTTCTTTGAAATTCCCTTTCGGTTCTTTCGTTTGTGCAGGAGCTTCTCTGGGTTTGCTGGCGCCAGGTGTGGGCCTTATCAGACCCTAATTCCTGTTTTCTGCTAGGCTGACCTTTGCAACTTCAGAGCTATTACTTCCCAGAAAATTTACTGCCATCTCTGGGGAGGGAGCCTTCCCTATCTGCCTGCCGCCTCCATCAAGCTCAGCCCCCCAGGACACAGTGCTCACTTCTCCACCAAACATGGGCACTGCCCTTGCCTCTGCTCTTCCTTTGTGTGGGGGAGTGCGTTCAGGCTGAACGCTGAGAGGAGCCACAGGACCTGTGGGCTCAAGGCTGGGCCTTGCTGCCCTGAGGTCTGCTTGGGGCCTCCTGCAGAGTCTGGGGTTCTACTGCCTCTGCCTCTTCCTTGGGTCATCCACTGGAAGGCAGCAGGGAGCTCCTCTGGCTCTGTCAGCAGAAGGGCAGCAGCAGCAGGAGGCCTGAGGCTGAGGGGTGCTGGGTGAGAGCTCAGAGCCCGGAACCTGCCAGCATGTCTGGGGACTCCTGTGACACCCCATCCTGGAGACAAGGAGTGGGGGCAGCTCACCTGTGCTGCTCCTTCCCACTGCAATGAGACACCAGTGCAAAGTGCCTCAGCAACCGCTGGGAGCCTGGTGACCCGAGCTGCTCCTCTCACTCAGCTCGGACTTGGGGCTGTGTTTCCTTCCGTCAGAACTGCTGAAAACAAAAAGTGCTGTTTGTTCTGATGTATTATGTCTTTCTCTGCTCCTTTGGATAACATTGATGTGTGCCTTCTCGTTATGTAATGTCATGGCCTTGGCGCTAGCAAGAATGATTTCCCTTGGCCTTTTTCACTGTGCCCTCCGTCCCCACACTGCACCTCAGATCCTCCGGGGGTCTCTGCCAACTGTTTGGCACCAGCACGGGCCCCTCTGTGGGCAATGGCTCTGGCAGGCGGTGCCTGCGGGAGCCCTTGGCTCGCAGCGGCGGGTGGGGCTGTGAGGTCTGTAATTTCTTGTTATATTTAGCCCAGGCTGCCTGGGTGGGAAGCTGGAGGGGGTATAAGCGGCACTGGGCACCCACCCTGGGGCAGAGGCTGCGCTCGGAGGAGACGGCACTGGAACCTATGGACACGTCGTACCCCCGCGAGGGTCCCCGGAAAGCTGATGGTGCTGCCCACTCACTCCCTGGGCTAGGAGCCCCGAGACCCCCGCCGAGAGACCACCTGATTTGGTCGGTGTTCAGCGCCCTCTACCTGAACCTCTGCTGCCTGGGCTTCCTGGCTCTGGCCTACTCCGTCAAGGTGGGTGCTGCCCCTTCCCCCAGCTCATGGAGGGGCTCTCTGAGGCCTGGGTCAAGGGGCCATAGGGTGTCCCCAGGGGGCTATGATTTGGGTCCAGGGTTGAGTTTTCTGAGGGAGGCTTGCTTGCAAAGGTGGGGGTTGAGTCTCCGGGGGACTGGCTGCTAGGTGGGGCGGAGGACGGTGTACACGGGAAGATGCTTGTGGTAGCTGCACTAGCAGTGGTGGCCTCATGTTGGCCGAAGGACCCTGCTGGAGGCCCTGGCTCTGTCCCTTGGGGCCAGAGGTGGGGTGTTGTTCACGAAAGGGAGGCCAGAGCTTCCCGAAAGGGGCAGAGCCCATGGCCTTCACAGGGAGGGCTCTGATCTAACGGGACTCCTCCCTGGACTCAGCCTTAGCTTGGGGTATTGGCAGCCAATGGCTCCTGGACCCCTGCCCCCACTTGGCTGAGTCCCTATGACCCCTTGAAGAAGGGGCAGTGAAGGGAGTGAATGGAGCCACCCTCCAGACACTGGGTCCTGTGGGCCCTCTCAGTGGTGGCCTGTGGTTCCTGGGTGGGCAGTAGGGCCCTGCAAGACGTGGCCCTGCCCTATCCACAGGCCCGAGACCAGAAGGTTGCTGGAGACCTGGAGGCAGCCCGGCGTTTTGGCTCCAAAGCCAAGTGCTACAACATCCTGGCCACAATGTGGACACTGGTGCCACCTCTGCTCCTCCTGGCGCTGGTGGTGACTGGTGCCCTGCACCTGTCCCGGCTGGCCAAGGACTCCGCCGCTTTCTTCACCACCAAGTTCGAGGACCCGGACTATGACTGACAGGCTGAGCCTCGTCCTGACCCACCCCTCGCCCCCTGGACCCTAGCCTCATTCCAGGGCCTGATCTCCACGGAGCCTATGTGAGTCCTGGGGCCTCACCTGAATCTCGTCGCCCAACCCCCCCTTTCCCCCCCCCAACAAGACCATCCCTCCTGGCACCAGGCTTAACCTTAGTTTTGCAATTAAAAGTCGCCGGTTGCAGAAAGGGCCGCCTGGGCCTCTCTTCCGGCTAGAGTGGGGTCTGAGCACAGGACTGCCCTAGGAACTACCCCCGCAGCTCCCCGTTTCACCATCGACACGCTCCACCTGGTCTAGTCACTGGTGACCTGTGCTGCCAGTGGCATGTCAGGCTGCTCGGCCACTCCTGGTGAGATTCCGAGGGCCTGCCCCAGAGCTGCTGGCGGGGTCCACCCCCTCTGGGCGTCTCTCTCCTCGGTCACATCCGCTGAGTCCCGCCAGCTCTTGCGCGGCATTCCTCCCCTCCCCCCTCAAAGGCTTACAGGGAGAAAGCGGGCCAAGGTCACCTTCTGGTGTTGTTCCATCGCATCACTTTACTTCCCCTGTGCACTGCCCTCGCCACCCCCACGAGCCAGCAGGTCCTGGGGGTGGGGTGGCCGAGCAGAAGGGCCGAGGGGACTTACACACACCCTGTGTGGCTGGGGCAGGGCTCCCGAGGCCTGCTGTGGTCAGGCAATGACAGGGCAGGTGGCCTGCAGGGCCTTAACTAGAGGGTGCTCTGGGCTGCACAGCCCCACCCAGGCAGCCCTGGCTGGGAGGTCTCAGGGTTCCCAGCACCGCCTGCGGTTCAGCCAGATCCCAGTGCCACAGCCCTAGGGCCCATGCCACACTGCAGACAGGCAGCGGCCTAGGGCCAGGTCTGACCCAAGACGGGACCAACCAGGACTGGGGGCTCAGCCGTTGTGGTGAAGGGAGTGGGTGTGGTCTGGCCCATAGCCAGGGGCTGAAGCCAGAGGGCACTGAGCAAGCAGGAAAGGCCTGAGCAGAGCCCAGCCAGAGGGACCCCAACCAAGGGGCTGCTTCTGTCCCATGTGGCCACCCACCTCCATCTGACCCAGGACAAGAGCCAGGCTCTTGTCCTGGGTCAGCCGAGAGCCAGCTTGCTGTGGGCAGGCTATGCTGCTGCCCACTGGCTCCTGCCCACAGCCCCTGCCGTCAGAGCTCAGCTGGTTTCTGCTCCCTGAGGACCGAGCCCCACCCTCAACTCTCCCCCAGGGAGGCAGTGGGCAGAGGGGCACACACGGGGCCCATTGCTTGGATCTCCACCATCGGTCCTTCTCTGCCACCATCCTGCGGCTGCTCCCAGCACTGGCCTCAGAACAGCACGGTTGTACAGATTCTGTAGCACCAGACATGTTCTTGGGACACTGCTGGGCCCGAACCCCTGGTCACTCAGTGTGGGGGGCGCAAAGTTGCTGCAGGCTTGGGGCAGGTGTCTGGTCTTCAGGGAGAGCTGCCCGTGTAGCCTCCCCCAGGAACGACCTCTGTATTCGGCCAGCAGAGCTAGGGAAGGAGACCACGTGGCCTGCAGGGAGGAGGCATCCTGAGTGTCTGCCCCAGGGAGTGACCTGGACTCCTTCACTGGTCTGGGGGAAGCTGCCTACCTGGAGGCAGAGGGAAACAAGCCTGGGATGGCCAGAGCTGGACCTCCAGCGGTGGGGCCCAGGGCCCGTCCCGGGCTGTGACCTCCATGGTCACGGAGCACTCGGAGAAGGAGAAGTCAAGTCTGCTCCCCAAGTAGCAGACGCCGGAGACATGGACTCCACAGACCCCTCCTGGACACAGGGGGTCGAAGGTCACACCGGCGCCGGTGACCCTGTGGGAGGGGCCTTCCGTGAGGAGCTGGGGGTGGGAGCCCATCCCCGTGGGTCACTGTGCTTACCGGAACCCCGTGAAGCCGAATAGCGCCGCCTGCAGGAAGCCCCCCATCCCGGTCAGGAAGTTCACGGCCCCCGAGCCATCGGCATTCTCTGTCCATACCTGCAGGGTGGTGCCGTGTGGGCTACGAAGGAGGCTCCTGCCCACCTGCCTCTAAGGACACGGCCGGCTCACCTTGAAGGGCTCCGAGATGTGGGCAAAGCTCCTATCCAGGAGGCCCCGTGCCCGGCTGGACTCCTTGAGCTCCATCCAGCCTATGGCGAACATGCTCTGGGCGGGTGAGAGGTAGCGGCTGAGCCCGGGGCGCTGGACCCAGGTGAGAGCCCTCAGCTGTGCTCAGGCACACTGCCTTACCCAGGTCATAGCCGGGCCCCGGGGAGATGTCACTGCCTCATAGGTCTCTAGGTTCTTCCTGCGCACCTGAGGGCTCAGCGGGAAGGGGACGGGGTATCCCAGGAGCACGACATCTGCCTGCTTCACCTCCTCTCCTGAGGGGAGGAGTCGGGAAGGTGAGGGGCCTGGTGCTGGCCTGAGGGCCCACCAAGGGCCTCTGGGGGTCACTCACCAGGATCATAGCCATCAAACTCAGGGTGGAAGTTCCGCTGCGGGTCAAAGGGCACCTTGATCTGATCAGCCACCTCCAACCACTGGTCCGGGACAGGCTGACCCAGGTCCTGAGCCAGGGTGGCAGCAAAGCGCAGGCTGGGGGCAGGGAGGGGCTGCAGCTATTGCCCCTCATTGGCCAGGTCGAGGAGAGTGGGGTCGCGCTCACCTGTTCTGGACCAGGACGTTGGTGTACACGGAGTTGTTAACACCTGAGTGGTACTCATCCGGGGGCATGACCCCTGAGGACACACACACAGGATGTGCCTCAGCGGGGCCCCAGGGATGGCCCCAAAGGCGGGTTGTGTCTAGGGTGGCCATCACACGCGAGCGAGCCCTCGAGCCCTGCCCACCTGCCCACCAGGGCCTCACCCCGCAGGTGGTACTTCTCCTCCTCCGGACTCCACACCACACGGCTGCACCAGAACTCAGCCACAGCGCTGACCACAGCCCAGCCGCCAGCCTCTCGGAAGAGCTGCAGGTCCTGGGGAGCAGTGGAAAGTGAAGCAAGGCCCCTGGATTCTGCTCCTCACTGGCCACTGCTCTCTTGCAGAGTCTGAGGGCCGTGGGTGGTGCTCACCTGGGTGGTGTGGTAGTAGAGCTCGAAAGCTAACACCACAGCTCCATTGACGTGGATCTCCTGGGTCCCGTAGACGTCCTCGGGGCAGACCTCCCTGCCAGAGCTGGCGCTCTCCCAGGCAAACTTGGCTCCCTGTAGGTGGGGAAGAGCTGGCTGGGGCGCCCGTGAGCCTATACTCTCTGGGGTGGGAGTGTGCAAAGAAGGGGGCACCGTGTATCCCCTGGCCTCATGGCATCTGCTGGGTGGAGGCCACCAGAGGCCCTGGGTTCCCAGAGAGACGGCTGCCCCCACAGTGCAAGGCTGTGCAAGGCTGCCCACCCCCCTTAGAAGATCCAGGGTTCCGGTTTCCAGACAGAAAGCTTAATGGGCTGAGCACACGCTTTGCGTATGGGAGGCTATATTCTATCCCAGGGTGGCATAGTCCCCTGAGCAGTGCAGAGAGAGACCCAAAATTGAACTATGTCCCTGCAAAAACAGAATTGAGGGGCTGGAGTGAAAGGACAGCGGGGAGGGCTCTTGCCTTGCACGCGGCCGGCCCAGCCTCAATCACCTGCACCCCAAGTCTCCTTATGGTTTCCTGATCCCTGCCAGGAGTGATCCCCAAGCACAGTGCTAGGAGTAAGCCCTGAGAGCCGCAGGGTGTGGCCAACAATAGAGTTTTGGGGGCCAGGGAGATTGTTCAGTGCGCCCGGGCGCAGGAGACCTGCGTTTCATCCCAGTGCTGCAGGGTCCTGAGCAATGCTGGGTGCAGCCCAAACTCTCTCCCCACCTCAAATAAATTCTAGATGTAGGTGATGCCTGTTCCACCCAGACACAGATGGGACACCAGCCCTTCGCTGGGTCCTGAAGAGCCCTCCAAGACTCCATCACCTGGTAGCCGAGAGTCTGGGCGTTCTCCAAGGCACCACCTAGTGTCCGAATCCGGTACTGCAGGAGTGCCCTCGCGGCCTCGGGGTGAAAGAGGAGGATGCTGGGGAACATCCAGAGATCCTGGAGCACCGGGAAGGGCCTTGAGGCAGGGACTCACAGCCAGCTGGTGCTGACCCTCCAGACCCCTGCCTGCCCACTCTCTTCCCCGTGCCCCTTTCAGGGTCTCTTCAGGCGCCTGGGCTCCCCCTGGGCTCAGGTCAGAGCAGTAGCTTTGTGGCCTAGAGGAAGCGACACAGCCACGGGGCAGGCCTGGCACATGTCAGGTGAGCTGAGATGGGTGCGTGTCATGGTGGGAACACGGGTGGGCATGTTCTGGGTGGGCACGTGGTGGGTGGGCACACGGGGTGGGCACGTGGTGGGTGGGCACACGGGGTGGGCACGTGGTGGGTGGGCACACGGGGTGGGCATGTGCTGGTTGGGCACACGGGCCAGTGGGTGTCAGGGAGGCCTACGTACCTGGTCCCAGAAGACATGGCCCCAGTAGCACTCATCATGGCTCCCGTTGGAGAGGCCCCCAGGGCTGAGGCCGTGGCAGACATTGCTTGGGGACCCGGGCTGGGGCAGGGCACTGAGCAGGTAGTAGAGGGCTCCACGCAGGGCCTGGCGCAGGGGCAGGTCCCCCACCACATCCAGGCCACAGTCGGCCCAGAGCTGGGCCCAGGCCTGGGCGTGGGCCGAATACAGAGCGCCCCCTGCCTGCAGCTGCAGGGCCTCTGTGAGGTAGGTCTGCGCCTCCTCCTGGCTGCCCCCCACCACCGTCAGGAACTCCCAGGATCCTTCTTCTTCATCCTCCCCGAGGGTCAGGGCGGGGGGGATGGGTGTCCACAGCATGTGCACCTCCTGCAGCTGCCCCCCTGGCTGCTCGGGGGTGAGTGTGTGGCCGTGCAGGTACCTGCAAGAGGACGGCTGAGTCTCAGGGCGCGGCTCCCTCCTGAGGCGGCCCCCTCAGGTCTGACAGCCGTCCTCACCGTGCACCCCGGAAGTCGGGACCCAGCTGCAGGTCCAGGTCTGGGCTTTCTGGAGAGAAGGGGGTCTGCAGCAGCACAGTGATGGGGCAGCGCCCCTCAGCCAAACGGGTGATGGACACGCTGAAGGCCAGGACATGAGGGAGTGTGCGGTGGGCATAGATGCACTGTGATGCCCGGAAGCTGGACCCCTCCAGGGTGTGCAGGAAGGAGCCTGGGGAGGACACAGGGCGACAAGGCACTTGTGAGGGTTGCTCGAGATGGTGCAGAGCTGCCCGCCTGGCTGGGCTCACAGCCTCATCTGGGGGCCAGTTGCATGGGGACCCCTAGGCCCTGGATCCGGGGGCCAACCCCTCCGGTTCACAGGTGCCTGGGTATCTCAGCTGTGGGGCCCCACTCAGCTGGGCAGTGGCCAGGGGCAGCAGGGCAGGGGCTGGTACCTGTGTTAGTGTCCAGGGCAAAGGTCTTGGTCAGCTTCTCTTCTGTTCCTGCAGCAGTCTCTAGCTGGACATTGAGGGGACTGGGCAGGACCGCCCGGTGTGTGTCTCCCTGAGCCCCATTGTACACACCACTCACGTGCAGCGTGTCATGATACACGCGTGTGCCCAGATACACGTTGGTCACAGTGGCCAAGAGCCGGGGGTCAGTGGGCAGAGAATGGGCAGTGAAGACAGTGGGATCCTCGCCAGCACCCTCCATGGGAGGCAAGGGTAGAGGCCTGAAGGTGGTATCAGCTCCTCCTGGGCCCCTTTTCCAGCTGTGAATCCCAGAGACCCCCGGGGTGAGGCTGGAGCCAGAGAGCTGACTATACCCAAAGCCGGACCTTCCAGAGTCGCCCCCTTTTCTATTTTGCTTCGTTCTGTTTTGGGGACACACCTGGCAGTGCCCAGGGCTTACTCTTGGCTTTGTGCTTAGGGGTCACTCCAGGCTGGGCTCGGGGATCGTGTGTGGTGCTGGGCACTGAGCCAGGGGTGCCTTACCCACTGTGCTGTTTCTCTTGCCCTTCTATCTTTCGGGGGATCGCTCTTGGCCATGCAATGCTGGGGACTGAGCCTCCTGCATGCGGGGCAAACACCTTCCCACAGTGCTATCCTCCTGCCTCCTCAACCCCCCACTTTCAAACCGTCGAAGAACCGTCCCGGCCACCCGTCCCTCGCGTTGGTCCCGGGGCCATCCATCTCCTCCCCGCACCCTCCAGCCCTCTCCAGGCCCGCGCGGCGGGGGCCTCAGCTCCGTGCAGGGGCGGTGCAGGGCCGGCCGAAGAGCGACCTCGGGGTGGGGAAGGGGACCGGCAGGCGCGGGACAGCGCACGGGGTCTCACCGCACGGACGGACTCTCGGACGCTCCGCTCCAAAGTTTCCAGAAAGTCCCCGCAAACTCCCGGAAAGCACCGAGGTCCCGCCCCGGGGAGGGCAGCTGCGTCCCCGCCCCGGCCGGGCGGGGCGGGACCAGAAGCCACCGCTGCGGTGCCCACCTCCAGGGCCGGCGGGGACCGTAGCGCCCCGCCCCGTGGCTGGGCCCGAGAAGCGAGCCAGGCCCTGCGCGTTCCCTGCGCAGACTGAGGCGGGCTGAGGCGCAGGGAGCTGCGCAGGAAGCAGCTGAGGCTCAGTCCAGCTTTGCGGGCGCGATGTTCCAGGGCAGACCTGCGGGGCCTGGGGCCTGGGGCCTGTCTCTCCTTGCCTCTCACCACTGTGCGGTGGCCTGACTGGGGGCTCCCTCCAGGGGAGGGATGGAGCAGCTGGCCGTGCTGAGGGCCTCCCCCTAGCTTGGACTTAGTGAGGCCTGTGCTGGTGTGCACGCAGGACATGGTCTGAGCTGACCTCTCTCAAGCTGCCTGACGCTTCCCAGGGATTGCTACTCTGTGGGGGACGCTTCATGCTGTGAGGGATGCCTGGTGCTGTGGGGGATGCCTGGTACTCTGGGGGATGCCTCATGCTGAGGGGCCTCATGTTCTGTTCTGCAGCCACTACCATCCCTTCCATGTTGGTCTACACTGGCATTTAGAGGTGGGGCTTGAGGGTTAGGTCATCAGGGCACCTTGGTGACTGCAGCCCTTCTCTGGCTGCTGCCATGCAGGACGGCTGCAGCTGCAACAGGAAGAGGGACCTTCCAGAGCTTTGGGGGAGGAACTTGGTGGTGCTTGGGCAGCCATATGCCTTCCCACTTGCCTGCAGCCCTATCTTGGGGATCTCTTTTGCAGATGCCCTGTATTTTTTTTTTTCATTTTTATAATTTTATTTATTGAATCACCGTGAGAGCAGTTACAAAGCTTTCAGGTCTAAGTCTCGGTCATACAATGAAACACCCGTACCTTCACCAGTGCCCATTCTCCACCACCAAAACCCTCAGTATACCCCCATTCCACACCCTCCCCCTACCTGTGGGGCAGATGATTTCCACATTACTTTCTCTCTACTTTGATCACATTCGATATTTTGACACCAGACCCACCATTATTATTTGGGATTTTACCCCAACACTCAGATCTGCCAAAAAGGCAACAGTAGACAATTTGTGTTCTATTGCTGGTTATGAATAACATATGATGTCGCGCAGCTGCAGTAGTGTCAGCACGATTTTGAAATTCTGAAATTTTAACAATTGAATCTGGAGGGATTTCTGCCAAAACCTGCTGGGTTCCGAGATTTGTTCCTGAGTCTCTGGGATCATGGCTGTTAAGCAGATTGATCAGGAGCCAGAGAGGCTGTTCATGGGCAACGACTCCGGATCTCGCTGCGGTGGGAAGGAAAGGGCCGGCTCCACCCCCATCCCATGAGGCCCCGCGTATTTCGTCACTGCGGGCCTAAACCTGACTGTCCAATGGCCTCTGGAAGATGGAGGCCACGAGCCGCCTAGGGGGTGCAGGTGGAGGGACAGCACCATTTCCCCCATGGGGTGGCCCAGCAACAGTAACCTGCTGCAGGGTCCGAACACATTTCTGCCAAAAGCCACTGGGGTTTCGAGATTTGTTTCTGAGTCTCTGGGATAATGGCCGTTAAGCAGCTTGATCAGGAGTCAGAGAGGCCGTTCATGGGTGGTGACTCAGGGTCTCCTTGGGACGGGGAGGAAAGGGCCAGTTCCACCCCCATCTTGTGAGGCCCCACGTGTCTCGTCACTGTGGGCCCAAACCTGACTGTCCAGTAGCCCCTGGAGGATGACGGCCACTGGGCTGCCAGGGGAAACAGGCCAAGGCACGAAATCTATTCCCACCTGGGGTGGCCCAGCACCGGTAACCTACTGCAGGGACCGGATGCATTTCTGCCAAATGCCATTTGGGTTTCGAGATTTGTTTCTGAGTCTCTGGGATCATGGCCATTAGGCAGTCTGATCAGGAACGAGAGAGGCCATGCCTCCAATTATATAGCTGAGCCGGAGGTGGTTTGTGGGTGTGTCTCCCACATACCTAACTTTTGGCCGTTTACTTTCTTGGTAAACTTTGCCCCAAGTTTTTGGGGTCTGGCCAAAGACACAGTAGCAATTTAAAGGTATCTGGAAGTCTGAAGGCGCCATCAGGCTGCTGGCTGATGCACTCGCCTCACAGGTACAGATTGACCTGCTGGCAACACCATAACCCCCAGACGCCCTGTTCTTTTTTTTTCTTATGTTTATGATTTTTTAAATTAATTTTTATTAGTGAAACACCATGAGGTACAGTTGTAGACTTACAAATTTTTGTTCTTGGGTTTCGATTACACAATGATCAAATACCCATCCCTCCACCAGTGCCCATTTTCCACCACCATGGATCCCAGTATCCCTCCCACCCCCATCCCCCCATCCCACCCTGCCTCTGTGGCAGGGCATTCCCTTTTGTTCTCTCTCCTTTTGGGTGTTGTGGTCTGCAAAAGAGACGCCCTGTTCTTGACTACATTTCTGGTGCCTACATTTCTAAGAGCCCAGTCAGATGAGAGAAACTTCACGTCCCAGGGGACATTCTCTTGCACAGTCCACTTTCAAATTATACGAACAGATGAAAACTCTTCTCCTGGAGCTGGCAGTCTCTCAGAAAACCTGAAACCTCCAATGCATAGGCAGGAGTAGAAAGCCAAGTATGGGGGAAATAAGGGTGACCATCCGCCCCCATGAGTCATAGAAAAAAGAACTGTGAACACCAGTCGGTTGACTGATAAAGTAAGTATACCAGAAGTCAGTTGAAGTGAGTGCAAAGAAGAATTTATTATGGGGAGGGAGGGAAAGAGAAAGGGTTATCTCACCCGTGCCAACACAGCTCCCATCTAGAGACACTGAAGGTCTCAGCACGCATGTCCCTCTGGCTAAGACTACACAATCTCTGTGATGGTTTCACTCTTTTACTGGGGGGGGGGGGGGCATATCCAATTGTGTCCAGGGATTACTCATGGCTCTGTACTTAGGGATCACTCATGGGTTGGCTGTATGCAAGGTGGATGCTTTACTTGACATATTATTTCTCCAGGTCCAGTGTTACTCTTATTGCCAAGACCCACAGTCCTGGGGAGATGAGTCCCTTTGTCAGAGGTCAGCTCCTGCTTCATCTCCAGAGGCACACACTGGGCATGGAGTCGGGGCAGTCCAGCTCTGAGGATGCTGGAGAGTGGAGGCTTGTCACTGTCTGTGTGTGTGGGGATGTCTTTCAGGGGAACACCTGAGGGTTAAAGGAGAGGAGGGTGGCTGGAGTAAGGCGGGTGGGGGAATTGGGAAGGACAGTCGAGGTGTGGGTCTCCAGGCCCAGGTAGGGACAGTCTCCACCCAGGGTCCCACCACAGAACTGCCCCTTGAGGGGAGGAAAGTCCTGAGGTTGTGGCACCTCTTTCCTGGCTCTGGCCTTTAGGCCTCACAGGGCACTGCTGTTGACTTGGGAATGCTCGGGGGGATGGTCCAGTGCAGGATGTGTGATAACCAGGCCTGGTTTGGCTGTCCTCAAGAACTGCAGCTCCTGCAGCGACGCCTCCTTCAGCTCCACAGACGTCAGGCTGCAGCACACGCAGAGGACAGAGGGAATTAGCGGGGTTCCTAGGCTGGGCCAGGAGAGATGGGCGTAGAGAGCAGGCAGTCGGGGGCTGGCAGTGTGGACTGTGCTCAAGGTATACGGTGACAGATGTGGTCTTTAGGGGCTGTCAGGACGGGGGGGGGGGGGCGGAATGCAGGGCTTTGGAGGAGAGGGGTGAGGACCACTGGCCTAGGCTATCAGGTCTGGTAGAGTGGTCAAGGCCAAGCACTGGGTAGGGTCTCATACGAGAGGGGCTAAGGGTGGTCACACAGGGGGCTGGAGAGGTGCTCCAGATCCAGCCCCGAGCAGCTCCAAGGCACCGTCCCTGCCCCCGGCTGTACCTGAGGGTCTGCAGGCGGCACTCTGGGTGCTGCAGGACACCGCACAGGTAGGTCACTAAAGGTTCCGACAGCTGACAGCCGCTGAGGTCCAGGGTGGTCAATGCTGGGCTCTGCCGGAGCATGCCCAGCAGGTACTGCAGCGCATCTGGGGCACTGGGTTCCTGCACTCTGGGGGACACGGACATCAGGAGCTGCTGTGCTCCCTCCCCAGTCCCTCCGGGGTTTTGCCCCAGCTGGGCCTCACCTGAGCACTTGCACCCGGCAATGGGGCCAAGCCAGGCCCTCACTCAGCACATACATGCCCGTCTTGCTGAGCCCGCTGTGGAGAAGAGCCAGCTCGCTCAGGGCAGGTGCGCGCCTCACGGCCTCCGCGAGGTCTTGGCACACGGAGTCGGGGATCTTGCAGTAGGACAGCCTGGCCCGGAGCACACACTGGTGAGTTCCCACCTCACCGCACCAGCCCCCAGGGCGTGGCCTGCCCGTGCCGGCCATGTCAGCTGCCCCCGGGACACCATCTTTCGAAGCTTTCAGTTTGGGGTTGGCAGCTTCCTCTCCACCTGCCTCCCTGTAGGAGCTGCCAGGCCAAGCCAGCATCGCTCTCTTAGCTGGCTGGCCCTAACATGTGGACATTTGGATTGCGCCAATTGTTTCCTTTCCCGATAACGCAGCGATGAGCCCCTGCATGCTCTTAGTCAAGCCGCAGAAAGAACAGACCCACGTTCGCATGCCCTTTCTGCCTTCTGGTGTCTGTTTCCTAAGGGCCTCCCGTGGCTGTGCACAGCCCCTGGGTGTAGTGATGCCCATCTGG